GGATGGTGTTCTGGCCTGCAAATGCAGTCCACGTAGGGTAGTCGTTGGGGTTTTTCGTGTTTGTTTGCTTTTAAAATCTTGTCAAAGTGACTTTTTGGCTGCTGGGTTGTTGCGAAATTCTTCTTGGGATACTTGGATACCGTGGAATTTCTGAGAAGCCAAGTGAGATAAGAGGCATATAGGGAAAAAAAATCTGCTTTTGCTTGGATTTGTGGATCTATTCATTACTTGCTTGGATTTTATGTTTTTGAACTAGTTGTGTCTGTGGACATTGTAGCTCAGTGCTGAAGAACTCGTCTCAATGTGGAAAAAAAAAATCACTCCTAAAATTCTTCAATGTCTGATTAAATTCTGCTACTGCCATGAGTGTTTGTTGTGGTTTAACCCGGCAGGCAGCTCTAAACCCCCCCCAGCCCTTCGCTCGCTGCCCCCCCTCTGCGATAGGGGAGACGATCGGGGGGCAAAAAAAAAAGTAAAATTTGTGGGTTGAGATAAAGACAGTTTAATAGGACAGAGAAGGAAGGGATGATAATGATGATGATAATAGAATATACAAAGCAAGTGATGCACAGTGCAATTGCTCACCACCCGCCGACCGATGCCCAGCCAGTCCCCAAGCAGCGGCCCCCCCGGCCAGCTTTCCCCAGTTTATGTACTGAGCGTGACGTCCCATGGTATGGAATGTCCCTCTGGCCAGTTTGGCTGTGCCCCCTCCCAGCTTCTTGTGCCCCTCCAGCCTGCTCAGTCGGTAGAGCATGGGAAGCTGAAAAGTCCTTGCCTAGTGTAAGCACTGCTCAGCAACAACTAAACCATCGGTGCGTTATCAACATTGTTCTCATCCTAAATCCAAAACACAGCACTGTGCCAGCTACTGGGAAGGAAATTAACTCTATCCCTGCCGAAACCAGGACAGTGTTACAGACTTTAATGGAATACATCACTCACAGCTGTGCTTGCTGAGTCCCGAGTGCTCTGTTGCTCCAACTGATGATGTGTTGCCCTTCTCTATGTTAATAGGTATTTTGGGAGGTGTAGTGTTGCTAGTGATGTCGTCTTTGAATTGAATGTAAACAACTGGATGTTGTTTAACTATTTAAAAGGAAACTTTCAATGTCGATGCTGATGGATAGCAAGATTCCTTGGATTTAATACACCCCAGAATCAGAAGAGGCCTTAGTGTGCTCCCGTGACAGCGATTAACAAGACGTTAAGTACTTTTCTGTCTGCGTAATGAGATTCTGTTGGATCTCATTGGACTTCTGCCTCCAAACAGAATTATATTAAGATACCTGCTTAATCTGAAGAAGCTAGATAAGATTAGAAATATTGGAAGCAAATTTCCACTCAATTCGAAGTTTCTTCTTTCCTGACCCAGACGAGGCGGGGATGTTTGCATCTGGTGCTTTGGCTGGCGTTCGCTCTCAGCTTGCTTTCAGTCCTGTCAAATGGCCTCCACACCTTGCGCTGCAGGGGGGGGCTGTTAACAGGAATCCTCCGCGTGGCACAGCCCTGGGGTTTGGGGGGGGGGTGCGTTTGTTTGTTTGGGCGCTTTGGGGTTTTTCTGTTTTGTTTTCTGGTAGGTGCTACTAATAGTTTCAAGTAACTGTATACTGGTTTTGCCAAACACTGTTTCTTACAGAACTTATTCTATAGGAGTGCTTTTTATTGTTATTAGTTGTTAGAAGCCTAAGTATTCTTAATATCATGAGGTATGCGTCCTAGTAGGTCAGAAGCGGTTTATTTATTGGCTTAGTATTTTTAAATTAATGTTGCTTTTCCTGGCGGCTTGAATTTCTTCCTCATCGCATCTCTTGAGGAGAGGGCAGAATATCTATCCGAGACTGCGCCAGCACTCCCTGCATGACGGAGAACTTCATTGCTTTTTAGTTTATTTTCATAATGAAATATTAATATCCCAAAGCTATTTTGCAGCAATTAACTGCATCCATTTTCTGTGCAAAAGCTGAACATGTTATCAAGAAGCCACAAAAATGCTGATGTTAGAAATTGCTTACAACATTGGAAATATTTACATTCTTTAGTGTTAGGAATAACGTTCCAGCAATGGTACCTCCAAATTACTGCAGAAACACACCCCCAAATGTTGTGTTTCCTCCCTTCCAAAGTCCCAGGCCCACCTTGGTGGGGGTGGAGGAAGGCAAACCTCTGCAGTGTCACGGAACCTGTGTCGGAGACCCGTAGAGATGTACCGAAACCTCGAAGCATACCCAGTTATCTCTGCTTTTCCAGGGACAAGCATGGAAGGAAGAATTTGAAAGCAACTATTGCTAACGCTTGCGTGCTCACTGGTCTGGAAACTTCCTTGATAGCATGCACTAACAGTTCAGCAGAAAGTCCTTCTGCAACTTACTTCTTTTTTTAACTTTTTCTAAGTATCTCACTGTCCACACAGCCGTGTTTAATGGCTGCAGAGAACCGCAAGACAAAACCCTGCTTCCATACGCTGCTTGCAGGCTTTTCTGGTTAGTTGGGAAGCTGGGCTTGCCCTGATAAAATTATATACGTTGCAGGCTGAAGAGGGAAGATCTGCCTGCACGTCCTCAGAAGAATTACCGATTTCCCTCCAAAAGATGTACTAATACAAGTTGTCAGCTGAATTTTGCTACGCGAGCTATTTGCTAAAAGCAAGCTGTTTCTTGGGAACTATTAACTTGATAAATCAAGTTGCTGCTAATGTAACTAAAGATATCTTGCTGGCATTGAGTTACTGCTTATCATACTGCGTCGTACTCTAATGGCAGTAAAGTGCCTGGAAAGCAATTTTATTGTTTATTCTTGTGCCTGTGTAAATAGCTAATTTATCCTAATGACTGGATGGGACATAATTGGGAGTGAGTTTTTGAGGATGTAATATGCATATTAATTATGAGTGTGCACTGGCCATCAAGAAGACTCTTGTCTCCTTGATCCTCTTAATGCTTGGTAAACATCGTTATCTTTTCTAATGAGCCACGATGACTGAAAGTAGTGCTGTTCTACTCTGGGAGTCTGTTGTAGATGTCTGGTTACCGAAACAATTTCCCCAGAGAGTTTTCAACAGATTAAAAGTGCATACGGGACCTCCAGAGCTCCTGCACTTGCAAGATCTAACATCTTTTTTTTTTTTAAGGCTTATATCCCTGGGAAAGGAGGTAGCGTGGGTGGCACTGGGGCAGTGTGTTAGGAAAGCCGGATTCTCCTCGCAGCTCTGTGCTTGCCTAGTCCCTGTGCGACCTTGGAGAAGTGGCTTTGCTTCTGTAAAGTAGGGCATGAAAAAGGGTAGTGGTTGCAACCAAAGGTCCTGGAGTGTGGAAATATCAACAGAATCTTGCTACAGGAAACCCTGCAGTGTGCTGCAGCCGGCAAAAGCTGCTGTGCTTTCCTGTTAAAAGGATAAATATGTGGGAGGGGGGGAAAACCAAAATTCAACTCTTAGGACAGACAAAATGTTTTTACACAGGGGAACCGTTAATCGCCTTCACTGAGAGAATGAAAATACTCCGTAGCAGACGCTCTATCAAATCCATAAACTGCTGTTATAGAGAGCACGTTAGAAGTGGCAGCATGTTGTTGGCTTAGTGTTGCTCTTGCCTTTGTTGGAAGATACTTAAATATTTCATAATGTATCTTTATAAGTCAGAACTTAAATTTAAAAGTAACCAGTTGGTTCACTGTGACTGTATTGCCTTCCACGGCCGGTTCACCTCGTTCAGCCGCTGTTTGTGGCTCGATCAGTTTGCAAGTGAAAAAGAACCATGGAAAAAGTTAAGCCTGGTTGAAGCAAGTTGGTTTTTTTTATTAATGCAAGCACATCCAGTCAAACACGGAATATCCTGCTTTATGGTACAGCTTTATATTTAGCATTTCAGCTCAGAATAGCAAAACACGGTATTTAAGGAATGTATCAAACTGAGGGAGGAAAAATAGAAAGGAACCAATGTGGATACTGCATTGATTTCAAGTATATACTAGGACTGATTGACTGGTGAAGTGCACATTCATGTGAAAGCTTTTTTATACATTTACAGAAAGTGTTCTAAAATTGCATTTCAAATATATATTTTTTTTCTTAAATTTTAAGCATCCCTTTTAAATTTCAATTACATAAACAAAGCTGATATACAATCCCTCTTATAGTGTCCGACAATGTTACTAGCTAGAACATCTCTGAAAGTGCAAAACACTGTAATAATACAGTATAAATATTCTTACTCTAATCCAGGGCTGAAGGTCCAGTACTTCAGCACAGGAAAAATAGCAGCAAATCATAAGAATTACCCCTTCCCCTTTTCTGGGCCGTTCTTGTTAACGGTTAGTATTCTACTTCTTCCTTCTTCATGGCATAACTTGCTTTTGTTTCTCTTTGATGTCAATGCTACAGGAATAGCAAAATGTTGATTTATCTCCCTTCCTTACTGCAACTTACTCTTCTAATTTTAAGCACTTGTCAAGGGGGGAGTGGAACAGGGAGAGAGGGAAGGCTCTTCAGTTTTTCACCGTACTACAGGGCCAATACAGCAAATAATTTCTACTAAGTGATTGCAGATGCTATATGAAACAGTGGCACTGCTCTTGGTTGTAAGCGCTCGGCAAGAAAAGTCTACTGGACCGGAATAAACCAGACCCTTGGTCCAGCAAGTCTTGCCCCTTCTTCAACAGAAGGCAGAATAAGGTAAAACCCATCTACTTAGAGCTTATCATTTTTAAAGAGGCTTGTGCAGAGGCCCTCTGCGAGGCCCTACAAGGGAGGCTGCAGCCACTGGGAACTCCAGAGGGCCTTGTTTAAAAAAAAAAAAAAAAAAAAATTAATTGTCTGGCTCAAGTCATTATCTTTACAAATATCCAGCCCCCAAGTCGTAAGAGGACAATTACTGGAAAGCACAGTAGATATTCACACGTAATAATTTGTTGATTAAACAAAATAGTCTCTAATCTGAATAGTCTCTAATCTGAGCCTAGATTTTTTTTTTTTTTTTTTTTTTTTTTTTTTTTTTCTGAATTCAGAGATCAGGTGAGAAAGTAAGTCCTGAACTGTATATTTTTTCCTGGAAATGAATACCTTGAATCTTAACATAACATAAGCTCCTGGGGTGCTCATTTGGGTAGCCAAATTAGGTGCAAACTCAGGGCTAAAAGGAGAAATTAGAAATGGTAAGCATCAGCGGGTTTACAGATCATCTCTAATTTTGGTACTGACCTGGGTTCAAAGGTTTGACCAATTTCTTGTGGTGTTTTCCCTCGGATTTCAATGGGTTCTGGCCCAGACCAGTTAATCCGGCCAGTTAATCATGGCTTGCAAAATACTAGGAAAAGCTTGCATCATAAGCTGGTCTTTGCTTTAATCGTCTGTAAGTGCAGACTAGCATTTTCGAAGGAAACAAGGGAATTAAATGCCCCGTTCAGTGGTGATGAACTCAAGCTTCTTTGGAAATTTTAGCCTTAACTTCAAATTGGACATCTGAGTTTACTTCCCTCTCCCTAGCTCACGTGGAGCCTGTTTTGCAGAGATAATCTAGGTTAGACATCATTCTCTTAAACAAAACAAAACAAAAATCCCTGATTTTTAAAAAGGAAAACACAAACTATTCTGACAGCCAGAATTTAAAGGCTAGTTCCCAGAAGTAAGTATTAAAACTTAGACATGTGTGCATCTTCACACATGCACGCACACATACGCACACACAAACGCACATCCCCCAGCAGTTACCCCATCTTATCTGTTTAAATCATGTAACAAAAATACGTTTGCTGCACCATCAATGTTACAGGCAGGTATACTCTACTTCATGTGCCATATTCTCCATTTTATTTAAAAAGTACATCGTAGCTGGTTTCGAGACATCCATATTTTTATTTTCTTTACTTCCAGTCCAGCGTAATAGAAGGTACACTAAACGATATCAGTACCTTGTAAGGCACTATTTTCTGATGTAGGAGAGGAACACGCTTGCTGCAGATGTCAAAGGCCTTGACTCTACAAACACTTACTAACACATGCGAACGGTATCACTGATGTGAAGGAGACCCTTCACCTCAAAGCTAGAGAGACGTGTTGAGTGTTCTGTACGATACTGGTCCAACGGAGTATTTAACCTGAACACTGGCTTTAGCTGGGATGTGTGTTTTAACTTTTATTTATTTTGGTGGAAGTAATAAAAAATAAAAACTTGGATGCTGATAGAATAAGATCTCCCCAGGGATACCATCTCCCATGATACATTTCATCTCTGAGAACAGGGCCCTGCCCTTATATTTAAAATAAAAACCCAAAACCCTTCACTTAAGTGCCTTAAGGTTGACATGTGAAATATTTACCACATTTTATTTCATAAAAGTTACCGTATATACAAAAGAGACCTCAGCCAGTGAGGTCTTTCTTAGCTCAGTCCAAGTCTTTCAGGCTGTAAAAACACGTTCATTCGATGTGCTTCAAAGTCTGCAGATCAGATCCAAAAATCTCAGGCTCTATTAAGCAGAGTTGTCCTAGAAGAAGAAGTAATAAAGAATAAAATTATCTTTTCTATCACGGAAAAAAGTTTTACAGTTTTGGTAAAGGCTGGCAACAGGTCTATCTTGCATCACTAGCTGGAAGCCTTTCTTCAAGGGATAGATTTTTCAACTGCTATAAACTGGAAAACGTCTATGAATTCCAGTAAACATGCTGACTTTAAATTAAATGAAAACTTAACCTTTGTAACATTACTTCAGGCCCTTAAGATGCGCTCAGGCAAGTAACATATGTTCCTCTGTCATCCTAAACTATTGCTTGCTGAACAGCATCGGATTTGATGCGAGGTACATTGCGCGGGTGTCATAAGTGAAAAGCTTACGTGGACTTCCTAACAAACACCGGGATCACTGGGAAACACTGTCTTGTCTAGGACAATACAGTCATAATGTAGCTCAGCTGCAGCTCAGGACCTATAGACTTCTTCATCCATTCTGCATCTGGTACGGGTATGTCAAATCTAAATGTTTAACATGATTTACAAAGGTCTAAATCTCTCTCTCTGCCTTGGCCTCAGTATTAAAAGAAATCTCATCTAAATTAACTGATCTCATCACGTTAAGGTGATGAGGTGCTCATGTTCTGAGGAAGCTTCATACCTGAGTGTTTTCCAGCTGTCTTTTTCCATGTGGTTTTCCGGACCTTCACTTTCAAAGGACGCAATGAACAGAGCTAGTAAATAAAATAAGAACAATCAGATACATGGGTTCTTTAACTCAAAAAAAAAAAAAAAAAAAAAAAAAAAAAGTTACAATATAGCAGGTTTAACTTAGCAGACATCATAATGGAGTTTATTCTCATCAGAAGCCGATACAGAAGTGATATAACTTACTTATCAGATATTTTTTTGCGTGTTAATTTTTTTCATCAGCACTTCAACAAGTAAGAAGACTCGCTATAATGCTCAGTAAAGGATCCTACCTTCTTCACTATAAATGGGTGCTGTGAGTAGGTAGCTCTGGATCTTCTTGTCTTTTTCAAAAGGGCACTCAACCTGCTTCCATGTCAGGAAATCATGAATCTGTCTCGAAATTTCCCAGAATTTCTGCATGAGAATTAGAAGATTATCAAAATCATATTTGTTTTCTTTCAAATATTAGTTCCTTTGTTTCCATTTCAGAGCCTCTCAGTCTTGTTCTTATTCATGCTGCTTCTCTTATTATCACTTACTCGGTGGTTGTCTTTGTTATCCTTTCTTCTTACTGCTCCCTTCATCTCCCCCCTCTTGCTCCTAGTTCCTCATCCGTTGTTAGCCTCTCACATTTAGAACAGCGTATCCCTGCTACCCGCCCGGTCTTTTGCATTCAGTTCTTTTCATCATCAACCTTTTCTTCATATATAATAAAGTGCTATTGGCCTGTTTTCTGGGTCTTACCTCTAAATTAGCCTGCGAGTGGAACGGGTCAGTAAATGGTTTTTATTTACTTACTTTACTTTTTACATTTCCAACCTTCAACTTAAACGAAATATAACATATCTGATTTTTTCATAAAGCACTCTTTAAATTTAAGAAATAATCAAAATAACATACAGAAACTATAGATATCCTTTCCTTCTTAGGATTTTAAGAAATGCGTAATTACTTTGGGTTTGTCTTGTATATTCTGCGTGCCCCCCTCCCCCTACACAGCCTTAATAATGGCAAAAAACTTCAGAAGTACTTTTGCCAGGCTGTGGTCTTTTGGACATGTATGTTTATTAGTCAGGGAGAGAGAACCCAGAAGCTGTAGAAACTCCCTTGAAGGCCTGCTAAATACCCTTTCCTGGTTGTGCGTAGCATTTATAGCTACTAACCCGATGAGGTTAAATCGGCTAACGCTGATGATTTAGGGGGAAGTTACCTATTACGATTTGATCAGATATGACGGCTTGCTGCCACAGAAAAGTTTACTTTCCGTTCTTTACCGCCTTCCGCTTTCCCCCAATCCCTTTTGAACGTAAGGCAGGCGCGGGGCTGAGGAGTGGCAAATTTTTGTCTGCCATCATACGTGGTACACTAAAATTCTTATACTTCCTGATTTCAAGTTCTTCCCTCTATTTTAAATGTTGCACAAGTACAACGGTCCTTGAAGAGATTTCCCTGTCCAAATGGCTAACATTAGACTATTTCTGTATTACTTAAGTAATTTTTAATGCTGGGGGTTTGGCTTCTGAAATTCTTATTTTCTTCTCAATCTTTTCATGCAACAGTTTTGGCAACAAATTAATGTTATTCCAATCAGTTCTGCTTATGTGAATTTTATGTTTTGTAGTGCATCTACACTGTACTTTCAGGTACAACTAACAAAAAAATAGTCTCTATTTCAGTACACTTTAAAACTAAGCTTTTAACTGAAGGCAATTACATTCCAGCAGTTTTATGGATTCTCTTCTGTGTGTGCAGTTGTGGATCTGCTGGAGATGTAATATAAACACGGCAACTGCAAGCGCTAGCTTTCACAGAAATTTGGTGAAATCATTTCCCCTAGATAATGATATCGCTTTATGGTTTTCTATCACAGCAATGCTGAAGGAATTGATAATATAATGAGCTAGAAGTTCAAAACTAGCAAATGTTTGTAATGTACAATGTTTAACTAGCATTACAGTTTCTATAGTAGCAAAGTCCTACCTTGAAGTTTATCTGCCCGTTGGGCAAGCGGTTTGTATGTATTTTGTGCAGAAAGTAGATATCTTTAATAAACAGGTTGAAAACTGGGATGACTATTTTCTCTCGATTGCTGTTGGCAGTCTGAGATCGCTGTGCTGCTCCTTGCAGGGCTGTGCGGTAATTACAAAAGTTGCTGGATGGATCCATGTGATGCTGTTTTTATGGGGGGGAAAAAGGCAGTCAAGTAATAATGTTTCCTAAATATAAAAAGCTTTGATCTAACCATCAGTGAGTTCATTCTTTATGAATTCGTGGGGCCCATTTTCAAACTTTCAAGATAAAGTACCTTATGCTGATCAGGTCTGGATGCAGGTTTTTCTAATTTCTATCTTGTTTGAAAGAAGGGTTCTGTACTGACTTTACATCTGTGCTTTGCTTCAATGGTTAATGGAAGACTGAGAGGAAATGATAAACGACTATCGGAAAAAACCAAAGTTCTAACTTGCTGTCACCAATCTTTCCGATGAAATTTTCAATTAAGTTTTGTTTTCATTCAGATCTCCACTAGATGGAGTACTCTAATTAGTTTTAAGGGTAGCAAAATGGCATTCGCTTGAGTGAAAACTACCTTGATGTTAAATTGGAAAAAATATGCTAGGAAGAAATAACCTAAAGAAAACTTGCATCCGCTTTTCACTGCAGGCAAGTAGGGAGTTTGAAATTCAGGAAATGCTCTCCCTAATATTTTTACGCTGGTGACCGCTGACAGAGATGCCTCTCTGATCTCTGACTTAGTAACTCCACAGCAGAGGTTTGGATGAAACTATTTGGTGGATTTCTGTATGAAGTCTAAACTTTATACATACCTCTAAAACATCAAATTTGGCTGTTTTGACCTTGGACCAAGTTTTCTTTAGTCGTGCCACAGGACTCAAGTTCATGCCAGCTGAATGGAGAGAGAAGAGACAAAGAAAGAAACAACTGAGTTGAAAAAATATAGGGCTAACGTAACTCTGTGTTTATGTATCGGCACCACCACACGTTTTGGAAGGCAGTTCAGCTTGACAAACAAAAGCTGTAGCTGACACTCGCCCACGCACACATTAATCTGTCACTGGTACATACTGCCCCCGTAGGAGAGCGTGTGCTGATGTGGCCAGCCAATTTAAGGCAAGTATAAGCATAGTCTTGCCAGTCAGGCTGTAAAATGGAGTGCCTTTTGTCATCTGTGTTAAGGATACTCACAGATAATAGCCATCATTGAGTTGAAGTTTCCAATATTGAAGCACTCTCTTGCCACATCAATGAAAAATTCCACCATTCTTGTACGCTGCTTTTTCTTTACAACCTGAAAAAAACCCAAGATCTGTTAAGAGGGAAGGGATGGCCTCAATTTTGGATGGGATGTTCAGTCAAAGGCATTGTAACAGGTTGATTGAATGGACGTGTCAAGACTATCCAGCTAGCTTAATCTTAAGATGATATAGGCCTGAGGGTATTTTGTTAAGATTAACTTTTTATTAAAATAGCAGAAGTATTTGGGGCTACTATCAATTATTTGTCTAGTTGTGGGGGGAGTGTAAGTTTTTGTTTATACATAAAGTTCAATGTCTTGGGGAATCTTGTACAAGCAAGCTGGACACTTTCAGCAGTTTCCTGTTGCTGGAAAAGGGAGATAACATGAAGCTGCTATCAGAAAGAATATATGCAAAAAATTTAAACCTCTGAAGAAGAGGGGTGGGGAAAGCAGTGAACAGACTTAAGACCAAGGGCATGTAACCTGAATGTGAGAGAGAAAAATTGCCGTGTCCTGATTTTCTCATTTTACTCTGTATACTCTTAAATGACCTCTTGAGAGCAGGTAGTGATGATGATGATCAAGTACACAAATTCCCACTCATGCAGACATGCAAAGGATCTAGCAAGTGATGCTGAACATCTGCTTTGCAGATTCTTTTATAAATTGCAAAGCAAAATTAATGTAGAATCATAGAATCGCTAAGGTTGGAAAAGACCTCTAAGATCATCAAGTCCAACCGTCGACCCAACACCACCACCCACTAAACCATGTCCCTAAGCGCCTCATCTGTGCGTCTTTTAAATACTTCCAGGGATGGGGACTCAACCACTTCCCTGGGCAGCCTGTTCCAATTGGTTGAGTGGTTAATATAGCGCTGTCTCCAAACTTTGTTTCCAAAAACCATCAATCTTTCTCTCTCTCTCTCTCTCTATTTTTATCTTTTTTTTTTTTAAGCTAGTATTACTGCCTAGATTACATTCATTCATCAAAATCTTTCCCATATTTAGATCTAGAAGTCTAGAAGTTTGGTCTGGCTTATACAAAAATGGCTCCTGAATGGTGACTGCAGACTACTTCACCAGGGAATTCCCTGTTTCTTTAAAAAAAAAAACAAAAACAAACAAAAAAAAAAACCCAAAAAAACCCCCACAACAAAATCTCTTACCTAAAAACTTCAGTTTCTGTGCCATATCAAAAGAAAATGGCTCAGTAGTCAGTCAATGGCTTGGCTTAGCCCTTGGTATGCTAAACCTTTTTGACTGGTTTACTAAATGTATTAGCCATACCAGCCAGCTCTGGAAGATGTCTTGGTGTGGTTTTGTAATAAGTTTCTGTGAGAGCAGGAAATCTTAAGAGATTAGGATCAATATATCGGACTTCATGAAACTGCAGTAGGCATCTGGATTTCCACAGAAGGGCTACTGACCAAGCAGGAATAGAGAGAAAACTTCCCATTTGCTAGAATTGCTGCATATTAATAGGAATCTAAAAAGACACAGAATACACATGGGGGGGGGGAAGGTTTCTGGGGCAGTATACCTTCTATTTCTTTGCTTATTATAGGATAGAAGTTACTTTAACTTCTAATAAGGCTGTTCTCCCTCTTTTTTTTTTTAACCTCTCCAGTAGTCCACTTTCTTTCCAGACTTCTGAAGAAAGTTTGTTCCTGACTTTTCTACAACAAAAATGAATATATGACAGTGCTAATGACATCTAAATGCAGTGAAGGACAGCTGTTTATTGGTAAATCTGCGTTTAAAGATGAGTATCTTTGAGAAGTTATGGATGTATTTAAAAAAAAAATAAATAAATCCAAAAGAGCTCCTAACTCAAACTCCACACAAGTTCCATTTCACTGCATGACTAATGCTACTATGGAAGCTACACAAAACTAGAGAATATATGCAATGCCCAACATAGCCATGAACTCTTAATCATACAAGCATTCAAATAACTTAATGCTTGAATAATGCCATTATCTTTAATTGCACTGCTAATATTTAAATCTCTGTTAGACCACTGCTTGCCTTTTGTCCTTAAGGCCAGGATCACTTTGCTATCTGTTTTTCTACGAATACCTACCCGACAAATCTCTGTAGCCACCAGCATGCTGAGACAATTGAACCAATTGTCATAGGCCTCCAAATTATAGGTTTTGGTCACATCGCCGCGGCACTGTAAGAGAACAGGCCACATGTTAATCCTATCCTGTATCATGATAAAGTCAACATACCAAAGGATTAACTTCCTTTTCATGTCTTGATAAAATCTTGTTGGGTATTTTTTTAAGGCACGAGCTTAAAGAAGGTTAGAAAATGTCAGCCCTTCTTGTGCAGGGTATACATACTAAAATCACAGAGGCTCTTTACCCTGGCTACTCTTTGTTTCTTTTTCCCTCCGTACCCCTTCTTGTACCTTGTGATTATCCAGGGAGTCCATGTGGCTGACAATCTGCATCAGATCCTCTGGGTAAATGTTGCTCACCCTTTCCTGTGTTTGGAGAGATGGGAGATTGTCACTGTACAGACAAACAGGGAGTTGAGTGAAAAATGCATCAATAAGCCAAAGTTAGGAGAACGTTTTGGTAACTTTCATCTTTCTACAGTGCAGCTGTGTGAGGTGTTTTTATTTTTCGATTAAAACATTGGAGGCTTTCAGTGAAGCCATAGCAAAATTCATATTGATGAGTATATTAGTATTTAGTAAATGGAAAATTAAATACTTGACACAAATTAGTGTCTCACCAGTTCGATATAGGTCAGCTGCTGTGCCAAGATCAGAGGGTCACAGCACACACTCAGGATGTCCTTTTGAGTTGACTGTGGCTTGGTTTTGAGGATGGTGCCTTTGTCAGTAACAGGTTGCCGGAATTTCTCTCTGATTTCTTGGTACTGGCTCCGTGCGGAGAGGGCCATCAGGAGATTCTGTGTCATCTGGCTAATGATCTTTTTCACTGTTCCATTCTCCTAAGCAAAGGCAGAAACAATGCAAGAGCTAAAGGTTTTTAGCAGTCATAGATCGCCAAACAATTTCTGACTGGAAAAAATAAACGCCTAATATCCATTTTCTTTCATCTTATCTGAGCTGATCATCCTGTGACAAATGAACTTGTCATTACGGAGTTGTGCGGGCAGTTAGGACACTGTTATGCCTGCCTGCCTTCCCAACTCTGTTTCACTTGCTTGGCTGGTCTGCTCCTTGCGGCAGTTTTTGGCTAGTACCCCGTTTCAAAAGCATCTGGGTAAACAGCTTAAAAGTGGGTATAGTGCAACGGACTTGAGCTGCTCGCACAAGGCTTCTTGGATCCTCTGTGTACCAAGTGCCAAAAAGCTCTTTCTCATTCTGATCAGACCCGCCGATGATCAAGTTTATCTAGCGCAGGCAGAATCCAGGGAATTCACATTATGTCCAGGAATATACCCGTAAAATACCCTGGCTTGGCTTTGAACAACTATAGCATCCAAAGATTTAGGTAAGAGCACAATATATATCACGTTCTTGGACAACTAAAATGCCCTTCTGTTCATCAGGTGCAGATTTTAAACATAGAATCTATAAGGACACATACTGGTAAAGCCACAGAAATATAATCCATCTGCTCAGTGTTTTGGCAACTAAGGCAAGCTGAATTCTTTCTGCCATTGATTGTTTGTGTCCTGCAGACATTTCTCCGAGGTCGACATTTCCTACTCCTCCATCCCTCCTGTTACTGCTTTAAATGAGCCAGGTTCTCCAACCCTGTTCTTCCTGCTGCTGGAAAAACTAATTCTACCAAAGACAGTCCTCCTCCTCTTCCCGACACAATTGTTCTCTTGCTTTCATGCAAACTATTTCTCTTGAAGTTAGCCACAAGGTTAACCGTTAGTTTACAACCTGCTGTGTTGGTTTCTGCCAGTCAACTGGATGCACTAGAAAGAACTGCAATGAATCTGTGATCGTTCAAAGAAGCCACTAATACGCAGTGATGACTGAAATTATGTAGCAGATGTGAGAGACAATGCCTACCAAATACTTGTATATTGCATGCTATAATTAAGCAATAATAGTGTCAGAATGTTGCTTTACAAGGCAATAATCTGACTCCCAAGTGAAATCAAATGAAAAGCTGAAGGCAGCGTAGCTCATCTTGATGAGGCAACTGGATTACCGCTGAACAGCAGCTGGCTGGAGCCATTTCGGATATTGTGCTACAAGTGTTCAGAAATGCCAAGGGAGCGTGGTGGTGGGACTAAAATAAAGCGCTAATTCTGCTCTCTGGTATGCTGAGCTTTCTATTGTAAATCACTTGACTTCAGCTGCTATGCCTGACTTACCCATGTGTCTGGGAGGAGGCAGACTTTCTAGATATGGATCATGGAGAATCAAATTTGAAGGCAGGTGAGAGTATCGCAGATATTATGTGAAAGTGAACAAAGAAACGGCAGTGACATGAAAAACTATGGCTGGCTTAAGCTACTGTGAATTTATTAGCGTCTTAACACTTAGACAAATGCCCATAGAGTTTTAGCAGTTTCCTTTCATCGCTAGTCTTACCCTAAATTTTCTTACAGCTTTGGAAAATGTCAATGAGCATACAATAATTTGTCCTTGTTTGAGTTCAAACAAGACATTTGTACTTAATTTGGGGCGCAACCCTGGCTGTAGCTATAGCTGTTTGGTTTGCTGTCTGATATCACTAGGACAAGCACCTGACCGCTTTGTGCGAGTTCTCAGTTTACTTTCTATCCTATGTCAGGAGAATAATGTCCTAAGGGGATCTGTAAAAGCTTTAAAATACAAACTAACCCCTCAAACCATTACCATAATCCCTTGCTGAAGCACAGTATAGATAATTTCTTGTGGCAACAAATACTGAGAGCAAGAGCTGCTTTTTGTCAGTGACAAATTGTGTTTCCTAGGGGTCAGATGTGGCATAGCTCTTCACTGATCAAACTTGACTTGTAGCTTTGTTAAGGGGATAAATACGGTGATGCTGTAATTAATGGATGTCATCAGATGCCTCAGACACCAGAGCACTGAGCCACCCCATGAAGATGAGTTTTTCTCAAATGACAATTTATTTATACCTAACAGAGTGGGAGGGAAGAGAAAGAGAAAGAAAGGCCACAACTTCTTTCTAGTTCAAAGTAATAGACAAACTAAATACTGAGATACAGACACTAAATAAAACCTCTGCCAAGTCCCCTTTCACAGTAGTATCTCTGCCGACATACACCTCTTCATCCTTGTCTACAAAGGGAATAAAAGGCATATTATAATCCTATTTCCTCTTCCCCTCCTACTAAGGCACGGACACTTTCATAGCAGCATCCAGGTAAACAGCTTTGCTGATGCAACAAAACCGACATACTTCCTTTTGACAACTTGGTAACACCTAATTGTATTGTGTCCTATCACTGATTCATGCAGTGCTGTTAAACCTGTTGTTCTTCATTTTCTCTGTACTTGAATCAACAAAACCACACGTAATACAATTGTCTTCCCATTTCCTGCTAATTGTTCTCAAAAATATCTTGAAGTTGTGGGTTTGAAAACAAGGAGAAGCTTCTGCTTCTCTGTAAGTAAGCCTTCACGTTCATACAAACACTTTACAATTAATTCCCTTGCAGTTCTATTGGTACTTACAGTGACTTTCTCAAGGAGAAAAAAGTGTAGGCTTGCGGGGGGACGACGACGACACAACAAAAACCAACAAAACGGAAAACTAACAGCCCTTGTTTTATTTGAATTTGCTTTATCTGTTTGCTTCAGAAGAGTCTTCTGTGAGGTCTAGTTTTCTTCATAGGCTAGAAACTCAAGAGCTGTTAAGACTGGTGATTGCCTAGCTAGCAGAGCTCAAATATAACTTCCTTAGTGGAAATACTGTGCATGTCACTTGAAACATAGCAACAAAACAGCTGCTGATTATTGCTAGGAGCTAGGAATGAACTATTGAATATTAAGCATCTTTACCTTGAGCAAGAGTACATTTGATACAACTAGTTGATGTGTCTTGCGGGACTTAGACGTATAGAGTAGTAACAAAGCACAAAGGATGGTACATAATTCATTACAAAAGTTAACTATGTTGTGCCGTTATAGTCACTGTTCTTTCCTTTCTCCTTCTGCACCACATGCATTTTTCATACCGTCGTGGCTATTTTGTCTCTTCCTCTTATGCTTGGTGATTATACATAGACAGTTTCTGCTAATGGACCGTTAAGTTCACCGCTCAGCCCGCGTCCTGCAGTTACGCTGACAGCTTAGCAACTGCTGCTGTAGTCCATTTAGAAAATACTGCATGCAGGAGTGAGGGTTTGTATGTTATATGATAAACTACGTATAAAGGTTGACAAATAGTGCTTTCCCACTTAATGGGTTTTTCTCCCCCCCCACCCCCTACCTCATCACATTGCGTGATCCTGTGAGCAATCTCCTTCAACTCTTTCATGGATTTTTCATCTTGGAAATCATAGGGAAAAGTTTCAGTCCATTCCTTCAGGAGCTGAATGATTTTGGCAGCGAAGGATTTTAGCTTTGCCTGGAAAGAAACAATGAGTTGATTACTGACCATAGACCTTTCTGACTGCAGAGTAAATTAGCTGATGAAGGTTCGCACAAAACTAGAGACACCCTTGAAAATACTCTGCATTAGTAGTAGGTGAAGGGAATAAAAAAAGAACTCATTTAACTGTGAGCCAGATTCCCAAATAGTATGATTTAGCTTCCTTTCATGATAGCTTGGTAATGTCTCTTACCAAACACCTTTGAAGAAATTTTCAAGGTTAGTTGTATAAAGGCAGGAAGATGACAGAATAGTTTAAGTGACTGACTTGATTGAAGTCAATGGGACTTAAGCTGATTTATGCCATCCGAGGCAGCAGTACCTTAGCGTTTGAATTCAAATGCATACAAACTGCAGCGCTCTACCAAGCATCTTTCATGAGAAACGCTCACAAAGACATTTTTGTTCCATAGAATTTATCAGACCCTCCAGATTGAGCTGTATATTAAAAGAAATGAATGACAGGAAAGATGTGTGTGTTCTCTCCATGACATCTAAATCAAAATGGACTTTGAAAATGAAAAGTATTGGCTCTTACTCAAAAAGCTATCAACGACAGAAAGGGGAGGGAGAGCTATTTTTGAAGTTCTTCTGTTACCTGTGAACCTTCTAAGGCTTTTCATCAGTGAGACCTGAATTGGATGCCAGTTACTCCACTATGGTAGCATAGGGAGCAGCACCAGTAAATCCAAGGGAGCACTCTTGTAAAATCGGGAGTGTGAGTGCTAAGAACGCTTTTAACCTGAATTAAGTTTTGATTCTTCTTTTTTGTTATGTTTATCCCCCCCACCCAACTTATGATGCGCTGTAAAATCGGGAGTGTGAGTGCTAAGAACGCTTTTAACAAACAAGAAGAATCAAAACTTAATTCAGGTTATGTTTATCCCCCCACCCAACTTGTGATGCGCTGAGGAAAAAGAGGAAGTTTGCATCTGTGTTTACCTCCCCACCTGTGCAAGCTACAGAAGTCCCACTGCACAGCAGTTCCTCCTCCCCACGCACAGTGCGCCTTCCTCGCTGCACTCTCCCTCGGCCTCTTAGGGGTTACAGAAGGTGACTTAGCACGTGAGTGTCGCTACAGGAAATCGGTGTATTTTCTTTTAAGACAAATAAGAGAATGTCTTCCAAGAACTGGTAGGAACTCCTGCCAAAACATCATCTGACCATAGTATGTCCCAGCTTATTTAATCAAAACTAAAAGTCAACCAAACTAAGCTATTTTTTTTGCCTTTTTTTTTTTTACATCTCACTGGTATACAGTCAGTGGGACCATTAATGACGATTAATAAGAACTTTGAAGTTAAACCATGCACCCTTGAATCCTCCATCTGAAAATGAGCCAGTGCTTCTTGTAAGTCTGATGGGAATTTTCTTGCTTTTTTTTTTTTTTCCGGAGCTGCAAATTGCACTCTGTTAGCATGCTTTTCCTAGCTGTTTTTTATTGATAGCATTTAATTGATCCTGCTAGTAAGAGAAGCGCGGAATAGTTGGGAAAGTGAGGTCAAAAAGAAAACATCACCATTCTCTTTGCCAGCAGTAGGCATTCCTGCAAAGCAATCTCTGCCAATGCAACTCCTGCGGAGCCCAGCTTCAAGGTATTTCTTAACAGTGCGGGACAGAGTTCCAGATTATAGTTGTCTGTCCTCCAAACTCCCATTGTCAACTGCCCTGGGGAAAAGACAATTTATACTTCTTTGCTAGGAAATGCATGGAGCCTGATATTATTGAAAGAATAATCTGTAGGTGGTGATGGAGAATTAATTAGCTAGCCAGTGTGCTTTCATTCAATTAAAGTTAATAGGTACATGCCTACTCCACTTTTGTTTACCAAAAGCTGCTACAGAACTGGTTTTTTGGTATTAATTATCCTGACTATCCTTTCTTTTTAACTTTTGAAACTGAAAAAGGAGGGATGGGGGCAGGAAGGTTCCAAAAATCCTTCCTTAGGCCGTGGCAAGCATCTCCATATGAACACTGACTTCCCATCTCACGTATCTACTCATGAGTTGCTAGGGTGTAACCTTCGTGATGGAAAGCTTGGCATCTGTTGCAAGACAAACTGCAAACCGTGTTACTCTTCGTGTAATTACTCTTCAGGTGCAAAAAAAAGCTTAAAGTTTTATCAGATGCTTTTAATGCTCATGAAAATAAGGTATGCTTTCTGAGAGCAACACTAAAAAACATCAATATAGCAAAACATGAGATTCCTGTTTCATGTGCGCTCTGATGAAACCCAAAGCAGCGTGACAGGCTTGATGCACGTAATTTGTGATAACCTAGATAGAAATCACACGGATATGCGGGTAGCAGCACACGTTTCCTTTCTGTCATGGTTGCAATAAACCTACCAACCTACTTCTTCTGTAGTCCTACTCCAGATGCGAGCCTCCCCTTGTGAGCTGCCTGCTGACGCAGAGTTCTCTGGAGCCTATGGGAATACTTCTCCCATAAATATTTCTTTGAGAAGAAAAATACTCCTATTAATTTAAGTACTGTGGATCAGCCCTGTTCTGCATGAGACGAGACAGACAGTGCTGAGAAACGACTACCAATTAGAAAGGAGGGCAATAGCAGTACTGTGCTTGTAGGAAAGGGAGGTTTAATGACAATGACCCGGTTATGAGTACTGCTTTAATTTTTGGTTTTAAAAAGGAGAACTTACTGACAAAAAAACGAGGGAAATCATAATTTTTGAAGGGACCTACATATTCCAAGACAGGCCAGACAAGCTTAATGGAAACTAACTTCGACTTCCTCTTTTTATTTCTTACTCCTTTAACTTCTTATTTAAAATACACCCTCAAGCTGCAGAAATAATGCACCACAGTTTTAACAACAGGTTTTTCCACCGAATAGTACTATACAAGTGCTTTTTTCTGTGACAATCTTGTTTGGGTCTTTCCAATCTCTAACGCGCTTACGGAGAGTTAAATTTTCTTTATGGTCAGGCTTAACTACTGACTTGCATACTATAACCGACGTCTTAAACTGTGAAACCCTTCCTTTTTATGAGTGGCCAAAAGAACTCTAAGCGCACACCAAGACATCCCAGAGTGTTTTTCTTTTTAATCTACTTTTCTGTGGGTTGTTTTCTATAGGACTCTGGCTGGCCAGTGATGTCAAAAACAGAGGAATGATAAGTATTGTGGTGCGTAACCTCAAAACCTGGCTCCTTGCCACTTTTTCAGCTCATGCTATCCAGGCAACAAGTCAGCCAGCTTCTCCTCTGCTTATGCAAATCTCTTATCAGAAATGATCAGAGCTGCTTTTAACTACTTTTGCCAGCTATTTCCTGCTGCGGAGCCACTTAATTAGAAGGTGCTGGTAGCTGATGATACCTTAATGGGTTATGACTGCGAATAGGTAGAGTGCCTTGAGTCGAGAATTTCTATGCTGCGTGTGAAATGAGCTTTTATTTGTTGCCAGATAGAAAAACAAACATTTGCAAATGCTAGTAGCCAAATTATTCTGTAAAACGTACAGGTGCTTGCAGTAGAGGACAGTAAAGCAGCCATTTGAGAGGGATGTCAGAAGTTTATGTGGTGTTTTCCAAGAACTTTGTGTTTAGCGGGCAGGAAAAAAATTACAGTTTATATTAAGGGGGTAGGAAGGGATCAAGGGCATAGTAGGAAAAGCAACCAGCAAAGCATGTAAATTAAAGCAGCCTCCCAAACACTCATGGTTTATTGTCACCCTGCTGTTTGTTGGTTTTCCTGTAGGACCATTTCCAAATTGTCATCAGAAGGTGTAGGAGTGTGGGTGTTTGGAATACGAGCTGCTCTATTTTACATCCTGTTGTTAGGATGTAATGCTACTTCATTTCAATGTGGAAGCCAGGATTTTTTTTTTTAACACATCTGCTGAAAAGCCAGAATACTACTACTTTACAGCTAGTATCTTTAAACAGCCAGGTGATTTAGTCCCCGGATACTGTTTTCATTTTAAAATCTCCTTAGTATACTGTAATTCACAAAAGTTTCATCTTATGTCCCATTATTTTTAAATCCAAGTATTTCACATATGTATTTTGACACTAGTTACTGACAGCAGTCGTCCTTCATATGCCTACAGATCAGCTCTACTCATGTCATGTTTCAGACGGTCCCAGCATCTCTTACAAGTTCCCACCTCTGTTGTTGCTGAGGAACCACTACAATTTACAGAGCATCGCTTTGAGGTTGCTCAGTCATGAACTAGTTTGGCCGTGGTGATGGGAACGGTTATCACCTCTGTGTACGAAGCTGGATGCAGTGGTTCTTGCACCTTCTTTCCCTGATCCCTTGAATTCCCCAGCACCTACGTGACAGGTTACATAGCTATGTGGCGAGTAGATCAGGGGACTGATCATTTTAGCTATGTGGCGAGTAGATCAGGGGACTGACCTGGATGAAAGTCATTTTGCACCAAGTGGTTAGTTTTTTCCTGTGGGGTCATCTTGTGACACAGTAAGAGACCGCACCCAGGAACAGTAAGGGAGAAAGAAGCCCTTAGGTCAGTATTGCTGTCAAAAACTCTGTATTGCCAAACCACAGGGTTGCTTTTTGTGCTCCCCAATCAGAGTCCTGATACAACAAGAAGAAAACAAAATGGGACTATCAACATGCTGAAGATTAGGAATGCGAGCATGTAATTTCTCACTGTAGAAGAATGGATCCAAAACATGCTCAGGATTTCAACAATTCAGGTCTTTAAATACTTGCTGATTTCATCCTTGTTTCTGTCGCTCTTATTTGCATCCCAGCTTGGACTATTCTGGTACTGCAATTTCAGTCAAAAGCCCTTCAATACCCACTTTCCATAATGGTGAGACTCAGATGGATTTAAGTGCATGTCATAAACTGACCCAGTTTGGTTTAATCGGTTGTAGTAAAACCGCATAGTCACATGTATCAGCAAAGGCTACCGTTTTAAGTAGTGCATCCCTTAATTTTCCTGAGAGGTAACTTTCTGCTTTACCGTTACACCAACTTAAAACACCCCACCAATAACCTACAGCAGAGCACTCAACTCCGATAGGATGGTGAGGGTGACTGGAGAAAGGGGAATCAGATTCAAGAAAGACCTAACTTGGCGAAAGCCCAAAAGGGCAAAGCGACTTGCTGGGCCGCTCTCGCGGCAGATACGCACTGCTCCCGTGCACGGCACCTACCTGTGGCTCATGAGCAAGGCTGTATTTCCAGCCACTGTATCCGGCTCGTAAGGTAGTACATGACCTATGTTTGTGGCTAGCAAAAAAGCAACAGTGCTTCAAGGAAAAAGACCCAAATAAAAGTGCATCCAGTAACACACGGCAATTACAACTTCCATTTGTTCTTTATCAATCCGATTAGCTTTACAATGAGAAGGAGAGAGTGGGAAATAAATGACAGTAGCACAGCTAACTGGAGGACATAATGGTTCGCTTACCTTTTCTGCCTCAGTCCCCGTTTCTAGCTGCTGCTTCTGTTTAATGCAGATCTGCCCCACTTTAGCCAGGAGCTCGTGTGGGTGAATGAAGACTCGTGAGCTCAATAGGAAAGTGAAGATGTAAGTCCTCTGTGGAAGCAGAGAGGAAAAAAAAAAACAACCAAAAAACAAAACAAGTTGAGTAACTTTTAGCAAAACGAATCTGTCTTCCTTGGAAAAACTATTCCTTAAACCACAAATGTAACTTTCCTTCATTTAAACTTTTTATAATTTTTCCTTTCTCCAGAGATGTGGTGGTCTTTTCTAGCTCTGTTTAAAGGAAATGCTGCAGGCTCCAAGGCTCTTAACTGTGGTGTTTTCAGATTCCCAAATTATTTCCCCTTAAAATGCTAGACTTAATATGCCTAACTAGTCATCGCTCGCCAAAAAGACAAATGAAGTATGCCCGCTGTAGGGTGTTATGCCTCTTGAACACCACTGTTTCTGCGGCTTTGTTTCTTTAAGAGTGATTGTTTTTCATTGAGCTGCAGAAAACCGCTTCATGTGTATTCCAAACCACAGCTGTAATTTCTTCATGTATGGGGTTTTTCTGTTACTTTTTCCCCACAATCACTGACACAAGCTTTAGCTTAGATTGTAGCCATATGACAATAATTTAGTTTTAAGCTTGACTTGACTTATTTGGGGCCTGTTTCAGAGTCTTTTGAGTATGAACACTGCTAATGAATGCCAACAACTATTATTTCTCATTAGAAATAGCCTCTCCGTTTGTATTTTAAAAGCTATAATGCATTGTATTCCAAATCATACTCTGGACAGTTTCATTGAAGCGAGAATGAAGCAAGACTAGGGCATGAAGGTATTTTAAAAGCTATAATGCATTGTATTCCGAATCATACTCTGGACAGTTTCGTTGAAGCGAGAATGCCTTCATGCCCTAGTCTCGCTTCAGTGTTTGAAACTTGGCTTCTGTATTTGAATGTAACTGCCCCAGTAACGACAGCAGCATCTTGTAAGGACTTCTGTTTTTCCTGTAGGCTTTTTGACAAAATTTGGAGTTAGGAAATTGTAAGGGATCTCCTCGGCAATGGATTTCAATTAACCTTTGTTATGTCTGCAGTGCGTACTGTGACCTTGTCCCATGTGTTTTTTAGAAATGTGATTTGGCAGGCCACAGCCAGGTGCACGCATATACCACCTTGGACTGGGCAAGTAAATGGAGACATCTAAAAATTTAAGACCAGTTGTCTGAAATATGGCATCTCTACTATTAGCTACCAAATTCTGCTGCTTGCAGTCTCTAAAACACACTGGTAGTTAAACAATAATGGTATCTTTAGGATACCTTAAAAAGGTTATGGGGTTTATCTCTCTAATCACAATAAAATGTGCTATTAAGGAAAAATGTTTCCACTTCTCTAGTACTCAGTGTGCCCTATAATATAAATTTAGCACTAAACCCCTCCAAATATCAGAAGGGGAAAAAGGAATTTTTTTTTTAACAAAATAAGTAAAATTACCTAAAAGTCACAGTGTTCTGGGAGTAAACGAACAGATTAAGCACGTATCTATTAAACATCCAACTCTGTCCTGAGCCTGTGGAGGAAGCTAATGAAATAAGAGTGGAGTGTGATACAGCGGAGGCATTTAAAATGCTCATTCTGATTTGAAGATCTTATTAGTGCTGGGGTTCATGTATTAAAATTAGGAATAGCATTAATTCTGTTCAATCAAAACTGGAGTTAATCCATAGTCTTTGCCTTGTCTACTGTTTATGGATAGAGGAGGAGAAGGGTTAACTGGATGAACAGTTTGGGTCGGGCGCTTGATTAGCGCTTCCACTGATGCCTGCAGAAGATGGATAGCTGGGGCCACCTAACAGTAGGGCTCTCGGTGACTTCAAGCAGGTGGCCAGGGCAGTGACAGGACACTAACAGCATGGCCTCCCTTCTTGATGGCATGGTTGCAAACATCCCCCACAAGCATACACTGGGAAAATTTACAAAACTGGGCTTCTGTTTGGTATGTTGTTTATGTTTCTCTCCAGAATTTATTTTTACATTTACAATGACAAAAAATTGAAGTTCATTAACTTGTAGAAGAAATTCCATGTAGCTCTTACACCTGCATCTGGAAACAGCCGATGACATTGTGTCAGCTTTGCAGAAGCTTTATAAAAATCTATAGTAGTGTATGTGGTGTGTTCTGGGCACTAAAATTAGGCTGAAGAGCCAACCTGATTCACAAAGGGGGACTTGGTTGTGTTATGGGACAACATATCAGATCTTTTATTCTTACATATGTGAGAGAGATCCCTGAACTGATACACTCCCCATTCAGAATGAAAGCATGAGAAAGAATAGTGTTGGGTCGTGAGATTGGGGGGGGGCGGTTTGGGGGTTGGGTTGTCTTTTGTTTGTGTTTTAAACTATGCCTGGTTATCCTCTGTTGTTTTTTGTAGCCAGCTTCTGTGTTCATTTCTACCGGTGTTGTCCCTGAACTTAAAACTGTGAGTCTGGACTATCTGGGAAAGGAATTTAGCTGTTGGGTGTGTCAGCTGTCATTGGGCCGTGTGAAAATTTTTGTTCTGGAAACGTGAAGCAGTCCTCACTTTTACCCTATTTGCATTGGAGAGAGATGGGGAATAAAAAAAAAAAATTATGGACTTTGATACTTTCATCCCTTCCCCACATTCTTGTTCTGGGAGTTCAGAAGCCTGTCTGAAAAGATGCCTGTAAGTGTAAGTAGTGGGGAACAACAACTTAAGCCACGCTGCCCTGCCAGTGACCTTCGCTCTGATAAGCTGGAACACATTCTTTTAAGGAAAGATATAATTTTTGCTTCTCGTACTAATTCTAGCGTTGGTCTCCTTGGTGGAAGTTTGTGTGATGTGGGACAGTGTTTATGCAGAGTGACTCTGAGAAAGGCCCACTCAGAGTATCATTTCCCTATTGTTATACTGCAAGAAAAGTGTGACCCAGATGACCTGTGCTTTTATTTGGTCTCTTTGATAATGTCTTATATGATGTTCAAAAAAGCGACAAACTGGCAAGATGCAGGAAGATACATGGCCATAAAAGTGTGTACTTTCCACTTTAGGCTTGCTGATGTCTCTCTCTAATCAGTGATATCTGTACTGGACCCATGCAATGCTTTTCCAGACAACACTGGACTACTAGGTTTTAGAAACAAACTATTATTACTTCTGGAACGCATCTGCTGTATTTTTATTCCATTTTTTAAGTCACTTAACTGGAACTAGGTTCAGTACTTTAGAAAACAAAATTGTTCCATTATGGTCAATCAAGATATGCTGGTTTACAATATATTGGCATCTAATTGTGTGTGGGTGGGTTGATACTGTTATTGTTTATGCTGGCATAGACAAGGAGTAACTGCAATTAAGAACCAAATTAAAAATGATAGGTCTGACAGCAGTGTTGACCCCCATCTCCTTGCCTCTCTGCTAATAGCCACTCCCTATCCAATAAAGAAAATTCAGGCTGAACTAAGCCATACATTTCAGCTTAGCGGTAGGTCTCAGGGGTTAGGAACACAGTTGTTTTGGATAGCAAATATTTCATAGTAATGTCATGTGCCTTATCTAGATCAAGGATTTCTGTGATTTGCTGCACCTGTACTACCATACACATATAGGCTAAACATTACAACAGTGTAAAAACCTACACTCTCTCGTAGGCAGTCCCCTAATCATGACGAAGATGGTTTGGAGAAGGAAATTTAGCTATGAAGCTAGCTGGTTTGACAATGATTAAAAAAAAAATGCTTCCATAAGCTGTAAGACTGAAAGTTAAGCTCCATTTATCCTACAAAAGTGACAGGTATTTGGGAGGAGAGGCAAAAAAAAAAAAAAAAAAAAAAAATTCCTTTCTGCGCTTGGAACAAGGTAAGCCGACACAAAAGGGGCTTGTGCTTTACAAGAGAATAAGAAGCCAGATTCCTTTAGTGCCTAAAGTTGTTGCTAAGAGATGAGCTGAATTATATTTAAAAAAAAAAAAGGCGAGAGCGCAAGCGCACAAGACTAAAGAAGGAATTGTTACTCTCTGACTGAAGAATGCACCGATGTCTTCTCGAGGAGGAAAAAAAAGAAAAATATTTTCTTTGTGCACTCCCTGCTCATTCTGGAACTTCTTGTTTGTGAAATATTTTCTTGAAATGTTTTCTTGCTTGGGCACAAGGGTTACAGACTGGTACATTCCATTCCTAACCTCCCGAACTCCTCCGTCCCATGAGCATACATTTTTTTCCATGTGCTGAACAAGTCCCTGCACACAAACAAGCCTCAAAAGAGCAGTACACAAATGTAGGCCCTTATCTTTCCCGTCCTCCCTTGCCTGTCTCGTGTTCTGCCAACATGGCAAATATATTTTTGTTTTGCCTCTGTAACCAGCACAGAAAGACACTCTGTGTTTGCTTTCTCCCCTGCCCCCTTTTTTTTCCTGTCTGGAAGGTTGCTGTGATCTTTAGCTTAATGTCCACACAGGTGGGAATGCCTTCTAAGCACTGTGCTCAGATGTACTAATCCAAAAATTTGGATGAGTACTGCAACTTACAGATATGTCACTCTGAAACCAAGGTAATCTCTGCTAACGTTACCAATAGCTTCTCTTGGTGCGAATTAACTGGTGATGCCCTGCTGCCTGTCTTCGCACGCGTAGCCAGAGACACGAGACCGAGAGGTGTTTATACCCTTCTCTCGAACATACAGTATTGGCTACTCCTCTGACAGGACATCAGTGCAAATGGCTGTCACCCTAACCCTCTGTGGCAACCTCCCTAAAAATAGAAACGAGCATGAAATTAAGTATAAACATGCAACTGAACTAGAAAACTCGGGTTTGAAGATGACTCAAATACAGCTCCTTCTTTATGTTGTTGAAAGCTTATTTATCTACTCGTTTTATAATTAATCCTTTCAGCTGAATTGGGTGATCTGATTGAACTAAAAGAATGCATCCTGCTGTAGAGGAGATGAATTTGGTTTAATGCTGTTTTCCACCTCTCTTTCCCTGGAGTGCCCTTGATTGCTTCTGTTGTATCTCTCTCAGCTGTCAGCTTGCTGTCTATTTGAACTGCAGCCTGCCAGGGTGGGGTCCGTGACTGCTTGCTTTGCAATGCTCCCTCGCACAGGGTATGGGATAGCACCACGGAAACTAGCAGCGTTCCAAAATAAGCCGTAGACCCCTTCAGTAATGCTCACTTCGTGGAACCATTTTCAGAGTAGCTGTGTTTATAAATAGATCCTATGTTACAAGTTACAATAAGGGATGTGCATTAGCAGCTACTTAAAAAAATTAGCTATATTCCAGAAATCCAAGCAGCAAGTAACTATATTCTAGTATTACGCAAAAGACAAGGAACAGACTCCTTGGAAGGCCTAACTACAGCAGCCTAAAGCTATTCCACTGGTGTACCATACCAGCTCTACCTGCTGCTTTCTTCTGCATCTGTTCTACCGTATGTATTTGAGGGCAGGGAGCAGAAATTTAGTGTCTAGCAATGGTTATCCCTCTGTGTCTTATAAAGGACTTGGTAGTAAGTCAGCATCTGTCAAAGGTAGTGCAACTGTACGTTAGCCATATTTAAATGCAAGGTTTAGGATTGCTTTTGAACTGGAATATTAAAACATCCTGGTTTTGCTTTTTTTTAATCTTCTGCTGGTGATTGCTGGCAATTCTGCTGCTTATACCCGCTGAACTCTCATGTGGGGAGTCCCTTTTTTGTGCATGGCAATTGTGAAGATGGGTGGTGTATACGTGGGAGCTTGGAGGGACTTTATCATCACTGATGTGAAACCACAGCAAAAAGTTCTACACAAATTAGACTGACAAACATACAACAAGGTATAGCACGGCCCGCTACCGCAAGTGTTAAGTTCAACACACAAGTTAATAGTGACTGCAATTTCCCGCCCCCGTGTTAGTCTTTACAAAGACCTGGGATGCTTCTGCCATAGCTGCCACTTTTTTTCAGAGCTCAAATGGAATATATGCTATATAGCCTCTCTGACCTTTGGCAACTTGTTTAAATAACATCTTTCATTAATGGGTACAAGGGGTCATTTTAAGTGATAAAGTGATCTCTCAATAATATTCTAGGTTCAGAATCTTATTGCGTGCCCTGGAGTTGTAAGCAGTATTTACTTCAGGGGACTGCACTGAGGATGTTTAATCAGTTGCAAAATCATTTTCAGGCTCAGGAACATGCAGTGTTACAGTGCTGGCCCATTAAAATGTCTTGACAAAGAGAGCATTTTAATTAAAATCTATTTTTGTTTTTTCTGATGGCCTAACTAGGAGATGCATTAAAAATTAAGGGGGGGGAAAAAAAATACTAGAGCTGATTTCAGGTCTGCTTCCCTAGGTAGGAGCTGGTTAGTAGTTAATCTTGGCTGTATTAGAGCTAAAGCAGCTTAGAGGGATTGAAAATTCTGTGGCTAATGCTGCTTTTAATTGGTTCTTAAGGCACCCATTTGGGTTCAACACAGCTTTATCTTTCTAACAAGTGTTCTCATTTAAAAACAGAAAGGGGAGTATCTCCATTGAGCAACATCTTTAGTGAATGAATATTGCGAGTAAAATAAATGCATCTTAGCCCACATCTTAATCTTGAATCAGATGGAGGTCGAATTTCTTGAGGAAGCACCAATCTGGATACTAATGCAGGAAAACCATGGGAAGCAAAAAAAACCCCTTCGGTGCCTACTTACATCTGGATAATAGTCCATGGTGGGCACCAGGCGCTCTATCAAGGCTTCCAGTGATCCAGAAACAAGGTTCCCATCCTGATAAACAGGGTCCACACACCTCTCTCCCATATCTGGCTGCACTTGTCCACTACAACTGGAACCAAGCATGCTGGAAAATATGGGCGTCTGGGGCATAGTTTCCTGCAGACACGGGACAAAAGAAGAGAGAGGGTTAAGCTTTCTTTCAGGATGTCTTATGTGTGGGTTTTAGAGACATACATTAAACACAATCACATATTTGACTGAACGCAACCTGGGCATTAGCGCTAAGTTCTGAATCCAAGCAGTCACACATCTGTAAGCTGGCTTTGGGGTTTGAAATGCACTTTAAACTATGTCACTAAGGCTGTAGATGCAGAAGCTGTAAGAATTTTCTTCACTGTACTTGATTTCTCCTTTCTCCCCAGTTTTTCGCTGGCTCTTTATGCATAAAACTATACAGGGATGAAAATGCAAAATGCCGTCTGAACTTCAAAGATACTGAAGCAGTGCCTTGCTGAACAATCAAACAACAAATACTGTGCCATAATGTCCCTCTTCTTACTCTTTTTGAAGTCAGATGTTTGGCCAAAATAGTCAACTTGTGATGATAAATCCTTCACCACTTCTGTAGCTAGATGTAATCCAGGTCTCGACAGAAGTGCATCTTCTCCTGCATATAGATATCACTGGAAACAGTGGGGGACATACTGTCTGAACAAAACTGCCTTTTTTTTTTTTTTGGTACATGAAACCATGAACCGAGTGTCACAGGAATGCTGTGACACATACCATAATATACAAGTCTAACAGTCTCTCTGGAGATTTTTGCTTAGGAAACAAACCTGCTGTCACAACACAAAAACCACACGAAGGTTTGGGGTTTCCACCTCCCTCCCCTTGGCCACGAGCTGTAGGGGATGGAGGTCATAGTGGCGGGGGTGGGAGTGGGGGGGAGTGGGGGGGGGGGGGGGGTTGTTTGTTTGTTTTAAACCGGCTACAGCTTAAATACATGCAGGAGGCTAAACAAAACACCCTGCTACTGGATGTAAAGGTTGAAAATACTATTCAGCATCAGTATCAAAACAGTTCCCCCTGGCTGCTGAAATAGTTAAGACTGTTTAGAAGGCCAAGTGAAAAGAAGGCAGCGTTAACTCTTCAGCTGCTGTGTCACCCTCTATGAAACAAACATGCTAATGTCACACTCTGAAAAGCACTCATGTAGATAAAAGGGATTAGGCCATTACCAGTACCTTTTAAACCGACAGCTGTTTCTAACTGCACTCGCGTCTTAGACATAAGTCCTCTCTTTCTCTTTAGCAATTTCTCAAAAACTAGTTTAAGAACTGAAAACCTTAAATGCTATAAGGGGTTTCGGGGGTTTTTTGTTGTTTTGTTTTTTGGTTTTTTTTTTTTTAGGTAGCACTTCAAACAATTGCAGAGCAAAACTGTACTTTGTATTCTTTTAATGCAAGGCACATTCTTCCTCTCGAACTCTCCAAAGTCATCGTTCATGTTTGCAACCTGGGATACAAAACGTTTTTCTGCTTTTGAGCTCAGATGAACGCTAGGTGCGTCGGTAAGGAAAAAAATACCAGTATTAATGATACTTGTTCATCAAGGTGACAGATTTACTTATATATCAGGCCGATAAGTAGAACTGTTTTGTGGCTTTAACCAGAAGACCCTTATGTATTCATATGTGATACAGATATAAGGGAAATGTAATTCCCTGGAAGTTAAAACATAGCAGCTGTTTAATAGCGACCAGGGAGACTACTCTGAGGAGTGGAGTTCAGTTTCAGAAGTTCAGGACATAGAGTCAAATAAAACAGAAAATACAGGATCTAATGGCATATCAAAAGAAATGAAAAATGACGATTCTGCACAAACAGGCATGAAGGTTTCTCAGTATTTCACAGATTTATCTGTTAGGCCTAAGCTTTGCAGTGAACGACAATCTGACAAATCACTGGAGCATATCATGAAGCAGCCAGCTTTGCTATGCATACTATGTAACTCGCCAGTAATTTGGGGTTTTTTTCCCTTTTAAGGTCCATAGCAATAGAGCTGAAAGCTACTTCTCAGGCTGGACAGGCTGCAACGGGTGTTTCTGGCTAATAATATGAAGTTGCACCGGGTTTTAAGGGAAGTTTACCGCTAACTAAAGATGCTTTTGGAGGAAACGTATCCCGGTTTTGCCATCAAGTCTTTTAAACTCCTTTAAGACGTTCGTTGTTGCATCAGTTCTGTTTTTCAAGACCC